TTCAGACACAAGCACAAGGTTTTTTTGTCTTGCAGACTCATTTTCAAAACCACATGCATATAGCTGTCTGGAAAGGCATGTAAGACACATTTTGGTCAAGTTCCTAGCTAATCTGGTCCACAAAGTGGCATGACATTTGACATCACTGGGTGAGCCCTCTTTTAGCTGTATCTGTGAAAATCCAAACTCAAGAGAATTATATGCACGCATCAACAAAAGCTGAAATGAATCTGTATATAAAATCTTGGCTCAGGGGTTTTGTTGCTGACTTGGAGTGGACAGGGTTTCATTCAATAACTCCAGCTATTCGTATTTGTCATACATAATGCATGCATCTCAGTAGCACCTAGTTTAAACCTCCCCATAATCTCAAACCAGAGAAACTGAGATTTTCCAGTGTGCACAGGTAATTAAAGAAGAGTTCAAAATATTACCTAATTTACTTAGGCTAAAATCTGACAATAGAATTTGTACCAAAGCACATATTTTGCTACGTTCTTTCTTAAGTGCATGACAAACCACTGTATAGGTCATCGTTTGCTTCCTTGTTGAATGACAAATTATGACTCAAATTAAACATGATTGCTCCTTGTGAAACTGAACTACAGCTTCTTAAAGGCAGTGATGGTATTTCCTCTTTGTTTTGGTTTTTTCTCCATTTCCTGTTGATGAAAGCTACTGTCTGGATTGCCAGGTTTTAGCATTTCAGCTAGACTGATAGCATCAAAGATACTTCTTGCCTTGATCCTTTCCTTTGTTGCTACCTCACATGACTGTTCTACGTAATGAATACTCCCATGTCTAGTTCACAGCACCTCTGGCTTTATTCTACTTCTCTAAATTAATATGTGTTTCTATTTAATGGCCTATGCACCTAGGTAGTTAAAATACCTTCAAAACTGTTACCTTTCTCCTTCCTACTTACTACATTTATACTGCTACAAACATTAGCAAATGTTGATATCAGTCTATCACTTTTTTTGTAACTCTTCTTCATATTGAAAAGCACCAGATCTTCAAGCACACTTGCTGAAGTCACCTGGTGATATTCTCCAGACTGAATTCCTAACAGACTCATGAGCTACTGCAGAATCATTACTGACCTCTAACAGAATCTTCATCGAATCCCTGGACTCTAGAAAAGAAAAGTTGTAGTTTAAACCAAAATCTCTTTTGTTTATGTAGAGATGGGTATTCTGGTTTCAGTAAGAAGCAGAAATACAAGTAAGTTGTTATAAAGGTGAGTTCTAGCTCAGATGTTCTGAATGCTGGACTAACTCTAGTTCTTAGTGTGGAAACTAATAAATAGTCTTGCATGAGAGACAAACAAGAAAGACTAAGTATGAAACTTCAATACAACCACTACTGAAATTCATAGGCTTGCAGCTGAGAACAGCACCACCTTCCTTCATGGAATGATTTAAGCAACTAGGTGCAGAATTCCCTCTCCTATTTTCTGTCCCCAAGTTTTTTCCCACATTGCAACACTGCAAAGTAAGTTTTGAGTAAGCTGGACTTAATCCATTCTTCCCCTACCTTATCACATCTTACCCACAAAAACAGAACTCTATTAGCATTTAGAATCTTTTGCATATTTGAGCAGGTAAAGGTAAGATTTGCTTCTGAACACAGACAAACCAACCTGTAAAATCTACATATGTTAGCCAATCAGCATTTAATAGATTTTCTGAGGTTCCATCTACATGAAATTGACCAAGCCTGTCCTAAGTGGCAGCTTATATTCGAATGAAATTCCGTAACTGACAATAAATAAGTCAGAAAAGCAGGATTTTACTGTTCCCAAGGTATAACGCTGCCACAGAGAGAATAACACATAATGCTTTCACCAGAGTAAGTAGAACCAAGATAACATTCTCTTCCAATCCTAGAACTATTTAAGACAGCATGCCTCTAATGGTGACTGGATAATGAAAAGTTTTATGGCCTTTTTCTGCTTGTTTTGGGGGAACCTAATCCGTTTTCTGAAGTGAACAAGCACATTTTTTGCCCACACTCCTACAAACACAATGGGTTGTTTTTTTTCTTAGCTTCCTTCACAGTCCTCACCCTTTCCAATTCTTCCAATTCTTCTGTCAGCCTGCAGTATTATTTTAACCATCTTCAAAGAGGTCATAATGGCAAAAGGAGACAGGGGCAAAATGTGGGGGAGGGAGGAGAAGCAATGAAATAAGTGAGTGCAATAATTGTTCTCCAATGAAGAAAAAGGTAGAAGAAAAACCACCCAAGTTCATCAGTAATGCAGGCCCTGCCATCCCCAGATGTTACAGAAGCATTAGAATTGCTCCCTGCAAGAAAAATTGGATTAGTCACAATCTTGTCGACTAATGGGCACACTCTGTGATCTTTAGAGCTTCATTTACTGGGTTAATAGTGCTTTGCCTGAGTTCCTTTGCAACAGGGAAAAAAAAAAAAATCTGTAAGAAGAAATATTCTGGGTGCAGTCCACAGCCACTGACACGAGTAATATCATATTCATCACAGACAGACCTCGTATCTCATTACTACTGAAGAGTTTGCCCCCAAGGCATTTGAGCTCAGTCAGGCCAGGCCCCTCATGTGGAACCGTTCAGGTATATTGTGAAATGATTTAATGCGATAATAATGTCCACTTTGTGAGATAGATTATGTTTTTTATAGTGGCTGATGGTTAATGAATGATGCATTAGCAAACATCACTAAAACATTATTGAGAAAATGCAGATAAGAGATAGTAACTCCCTCCTTCCCAACCCCCACTCTCTCCCAGATGCATAAAGATGGAAAGCAGAACTTAAAGGAAACAGGAAACTTGACGTTTTTGTGAGGCTACCAGTTTGCATACTCTCTCTCTTGCTTGCTTGTTCTCTAGAGAAGGGGGAAAACAGATATTTTAAAAAGTTGTAAACACGAACTGAAATATCTCTTCTTAAATCAAATGAGAATCAATGTAAGTGCAAACCTGAAAAATACATTATATGTTGACCCAGTTTATTAGATGAAGCCATTTACCCTGATTTGATTTATCTGGCAATACACTGCTCAGCTGTGAAATGAGATAAGAAGAGCCTATTCACCTTATTTACAATATTATAGTGACTCCCACTAGCACCACTATGGTTAAGGATCTGTCAGCAATTCCATTACAAACACCATTTTTTTAGGGTTTGTAACATGGCTGTAGATTCATGCTTAGCTTGAACATGGCAATCCAAACCCAATAGATTCAATAAAAATCTCCTATTGAGTCCAATGGATTTTGGATTAATGCAGCACAATCTTAAAAATGTGAAAATCTGTAGGTATTTTTCTACATTTTTAGTCATTACGGCTGTGCCTTGGGAAGAAATACAAAGAGGGCCATATTCCCTGACAGTGGAACTGCTCTGAAGTCAGTAGAGTTATAGTAATTTACAACACCTGAAAAGCTGCCTCTTCTGTCAGTTATACACTTGGCAAAGATGAATCACAACAAGGAGTTGTTTTTCTGTTTTACTTTGATTTGCTGTTTTATTTGGCTTACATACGCTTCTAAAACCTCTTTGTTTCCTTAACAAGGGAGGGGTAAGTCCCACACACTTTCAATGGCAGTTAAACTGCTTCTGATCCCCCAGTCTAGAATTCATATTGCTGTTTTTTCCCATAAACCTGAAAAGCCTTCTAAACTGCAGCTTTCTATACAAAAAGATCCTTTCTAGTCCAAGCCTTTTGTCTATTTTGGTGTGTTTTGACACTGAAGCCTTCAAATAAAATTTCTGTTCTCGTTTCCTTCACTTTAATTTGTGAATTTCTTAACAGCTCAAAAATCTAAGAAGGAAATGAAGTAGGGCAGGCTAGTTAGGTAGAGGCTGCTGAGGCCAAACAGTACATGATGAACACAGTTATACAGACACAAAGTGGATTTTATCTATTTCACGGATAGTAGATAAACACTTATCACCAGCATTGCCCAGCAATACCTAATTAAAGGCCTCTGCTGTTCTGGATTTCATTTTTATTTGCACCTGTGTGACTGAAGAGACTGGAGCACACCAGTTAGCACACTTTCTCCTTATTTTGTAACACAGAGCAAGCTATATTTTAAAATAGGCGTAGTATTTTAAAAAATAATAATGTTCTTTCCAATTCATGGGTATTGCAGAGAAATGTGGGAGGAAAAAGAAAAAAGAAATTTGAATAAAGGAAGAATGTAACAAAGGGATGGCAAGACCTTGAATATCAGCATCGCCTATTTAGCGATGAATCTCCTCGAATCTCTTACTTCACCACACACAGAAACAGTAAAACCGCTGGTGCCTGAGGCTGCCCAGCCCCAGCTGCCCCCATCATGGGAGACCAGTGGGAGGAGATGGCAGCACTCTCAGGCTGTCATCCCTCCAAGGCCAACCATCTCAGAGTACTGTCCGTTCATCCTTCACAGGCCAGCCATCTCGGAGCATTGTCCATTCATGGCCTCATAGACACGTTAACAAGTTCGAAAGCAAATGAATAACAACAGGCACAGGTGGCTGTGCTTGCATAGGAACTGCAAGATGGAAGGTCAGGAAGGGAAGCAGCTCCCTCCGTCAGAGGGCTGCTGCTTGCCCAGGCCTCTCTGGCTCCTGCAGCACTTAGTGAGGAGGAAAACATGGTGGCAGCTGGAAGGACGAACCCTGTTCCACCACCTGAGCCACCCCAGAGAGGCTGCTGCCATGAGTCTCGTCAACACAAACTGTGGCCAGAGTGGAAAGGCAGAGGAGAAAGCAACAGGAGTGAGAGTACCAGCCCCTGAAGAGTACGGGAAGTGGCTAAGGTAGCAGTATCTAGAGGTTTGGGGCTTAAACCCCACCCTGCTTAAATTGCTTCTTAACAAAAAGGCAAAAAATGTTATGGCAGGAGGGTTGTGGAGTGGTGCTCCACAACCTTAGCTGCTTTTGGTACTAGTACCACCAGGACTCAGCCTCCATAACAGCCCCTCAGAAATGTGGAGGCAGTGCATGGTGAGCACCAGGGGCTAACCGCGGCCTGCAGGGTAGCGCCACAGGCTCTGAGGGTGCCTCTAGGAAAAATAAACCTGTAAGGAGAAATATTCTGGGTGCAGTCACATCTCCCTGAACCACATCCCTGTTCCTTACAGGTGCCTGAGGGTGCCCCATGGGGCTGTAAGGAATGTGACACAGCCCTCTTGAGGAGTTGTATCCATCTTGAGATAGCTGTGAGGGGACAGCCCCAGCACCAGGGGTCAGTGGGAAACACAATTGTGTTTTCTCCCCTGCAAGGGGTATCTGGACTTAGACTCCCAAGACAAGATAGTTTAAGGGCACAGGACAGCTTCTTTTGGGGAAGTGGGCTCTGCCAAGCAGAAGTTAAGAAGCTTCCAGAACATGCCCCTGTGCTGAAGCGCACCTAGCTGTTCTAGGTGGGACCTACCACAGTGAGAACTGCAGCAGCAATCAGCCCTAGTGCTGGCCATCATCTGCAATCAGCCATCAAGTTCCAGTTTTCTTGTGTTGGTAAGATTTGTACTTTGTTTGCTTGCCTCATCAGAGGTTTAGCAGGTTTTCTTGGTTGTCTGCAATTGTCTGAAACTTAGTATGAGGATTATCTGTGTCACTTAAATGGATCCCTTCCACTCTGTAGGCACCAGCACATGTGAACTATGTGCAATATCGAAAAAGTTGCAGAATATCATGATTGCATGCATAGGAACAAAGTAATATTTTCTATTGCACTTAGGATCTCATTAATCATTACTGCAGCCATGATGTCTCATTTGTGATGGGTTTGTTGCCTCAGAATTGTAGTAAATGTTCAGAACTAACATGTATAGTGCTTTTATATATTCTTTTCTTATACTGCCTACTATGTTCAGAATCAGAGGGAAACATCACACTTGTATTTGAAACCCTCCCTTGGTCCTACCAGTACACACCAGCAAAGTTATTATAGTCTGTCTCTGAGAACTGCACAGTGGACCTACAAAGCATATAAAAATTTAAGGGCAATGTGACTCATCTGTGTCACCTTAATTTGATGAATACAGACTAACTGGTTGATGGGTTAAGAAAAACAAAATTACTTGAACTTCCTTGTATTTTATCAGAGGGCTGGAATTCACATAAGCCAGGGTTTTAAAAATTGTAAGTTTTTATATATAGATAATATGCCATATTAAAACTCATAAATGTGCAGGCTTTTCCACTATGGTGGGCAGCTCAAACTACCCTCTTCAAAGGAAGACTTGAAGAATATTTAGTATATCTGTAAATTAGACAGAACATACCTTGAATTAGTCTAATGAAATTATAGTCAGAAAACATGGGAAATGCTTGGTTTATCCTCTCAGTATATGGCACTACCAGAAACAAGAATATTTTTTTCTTTTTACTACAGACATCATGGGAAGAGGCTTTAAATGAGACTAGTATCTCTGTTAGTGACAGAACATAGCAGGCAAATAGTAGAGGCCAGAAACTCATGAACTGAGATGGTCTTTAATAGTCAAGTTAAAAAAACAAAGGAATTGTTCCTCGTCAAATATGGGCAACAATTGTTGTCAGCGTGTGCACTGAGACTGTGTATCATTAATCACTAGAATCGAGCATTTCCTAATTTTTAGGTAGTGTTGCTGATTTGTCTTAGTTAATGATGTAGGAAACTAGTTTTTTAAGTCTCACAACACATTGAATTTAAATGCTTGCATACCTACACATTGAATTTAAATGCTTGCATAAGCATCCCAGAGCATTTCTGGTACTTACATTTTAGTGGCTGTTTTTCTGACATTCTGTGAAGCATGACTATTCTTTTCCTTCATTTCCCCAAAGATATTGATGTGTATGTGCAGAGAAGTGGAATTCCAACTGAGGTCTCCAATAGAAAAATAACATATTAAAAACCAATCTGAGCACTTAAGAACTTTATCAACTCAAGAAACTGGAATTACTGTGGAAATCTCAGTATTGTGTCTGTTTTCTATTAATACCAAGAATTCTTACTCATGGACTAACATCATACTGTATTAGAGACCAAACACACATAAAACAGAAACACCTTTGCTTCCATTTGTAAAATTAGTATGAAGCAAGAAGTAAAACATAGAAAAAGGCAGATTAGGGAACACAAGAAAATATTGGATGGTCATCTGAGGAATCTTTCTGTTCATTGCTGGTACGGAAGGGAGAGTGGCATTCTGATATCTATACATTCAGGATCAGTCAACAGTAGCAAAATATGTCTTGCTCACTTCATAATCTGGAGGAAACTTCAGGCTGAATTTGCAATTAGACATACACGATGTTTGCATTGTATAGAGGCTGTGTGAAGGGATTTAGTTTGCCTTTTTCCCCCAAATTAGCTATTACATAATTAATCCTTAGAAATCCTCTGCCTGTTTAGAATAAACACAAGGAGAAATGAGAGAATGTCCCATTCTCAGGTTTTTAAGTAATGACATGAGCATGCCAGTGATGCATTATCCCTTTTGTAAAGTTATACAAGTTGAGAGGTATTTGTTTGTTTGTCCGTATCAATTGTCTCCAGGTGTTTGGTGTTTTTCTGTGCTTTTCAAAAAGGCAGGAAGGGGAGGATGTTCCTAAATAATATGTTGCCCTGACTTTATAAGGCTTGTTTTGTCTGGCAAATGAATTATGTAAACCTTTTCCACCCGAAACTGTTTCAAGTCAATTAATTGTTGTAATTACTTAAGATTTCTTTTTAATGAATATGACTCTCCAGGGATTTGATGATATTCTGTCATCTGTAGACCTGATAAATGAAATGTGATTTGTGGCTTGCTGCAAACTGAACCCTTGTACTTGAACAATGTCTCTCTTTCCTATGTGCTCACTAAATGGAAGAAATGCCCTTGATGGAATTAGAAACATTTGCTTCAGTTGGTCCCTAGCAAGAATGGCTAGTATAGGCAGGTAAGGTTTGGCTTTTACTCCTTTTGTTCCCTCTTCCTTTAAATGCAGGCCTTGTTAACACATTGACAATTACTAAGACCAAACACACAACCCCAGTGAGGCTACCTATTGTAATTGAGAACTAGCTGAGTTCTTCCATCTCTCATCTCCATTAGATGCACTGAAATGTGAAAGATTAGCAGTCAGAGAGGAAGGAAACCAACACTGTATGATGGTTTTCTTATATTACCTTTTGTATTGCTTTCTTTGCCTCACCAACATTTTGTAATAAGAACAGCCAAATCTGGCAAGCAAGGCACCCTCTCCTTGTTTTTGTGCAATACCTAGTTTCCAGTGCACAATATCTAGATTCCAGTGCTTCTCAAGAAAAACAGAGCTGCCCAGTGCTGCAGATGAAGACAAGCAATCTGAGACAGCATGACAAAAAACCATGAAGTCTGAATTGAGTTCCTGCAGTGTGACTGCTTGTATGTGTTTCCACTAGCCTATTTTCCCTTACACTGCCATGCAAATAGTATAGCTAAATCTCCAATGTTAGGAAAGTATAAAGCAGGTGGAGTTTCCTGATTTAAATTCCATTGGTAAAATGGGGATTATTGCTTTATTGCAAGACCTTTCCTGAATATCACGTGGGTACATTAAACATCGTAAAATACATAGCCAAATGTAGTGGCTTGGTTATAGGTTGGAATGTAAGGACAATGAATTATTGTGTATCTCAAGCAAAGATCACTTTGACCTTTTTCCAGTCAAAAGAGGGTGCCTCATATATGCATAGCTGTCTAAATCTGGCAGTCATGGGTAGTGTAAGTGTACAGAAGAGACAGCATCCCTGATAATGGAAGTGAATTAACAAACAGAAGAAACTGTTATGTCTATTAGTGGTCCAGGAAAAACAAAGGGCTGTGAAGGGTGCAAAGGTGAAAACTGTGAAGAAAGAGTGACAAAGAAACATCAGACCAATGTCTGGGAGGAAGAATCATGGAAAATGAGAAAACATTGAATTTTCACAGAAAGGGATTTTGCACTTTGGGGTTCAAAAGCCAGGAGAGATTGTAGTGACAAAACTATATCAAACCCTAAGTCTTTCTAAACTCAAACCCGCTTCTTTATGCTGGCATAAAAGATATTGTCTTTCTCTTCCTCCAACCTGCCCTTTTTCTTTCTGGGCTAGCAGGACCTATAGCCAAGGATACAAATGTACAATAAACTTCAAGGAACTATTTTTCCTGGCTTGATGGGTCCAGCTGAAAAAGTGGTATCTAGAAGTTTATGACACTGATTGTCTTTGGTTCAGTAATTGGATGGAAGACATTCAGATCACCTTTGATTAGATGAACTTCTGAAACTACTGAGATTTATCAGTGCACAGATCTTACTCTCAGAGGACTCAAGTAAAAGTGTCCCATTAACTTAATGAATCAGGCCGCAAGAGAACAACTGCTCTTGAAGTCAGAATGAGAGATTTCCCATCAGTGGCACAAATTCTGCCAATAAAGGCAACAGGATTTCTCAAGTGAAATGAGATTAGAAAATGTCTCCCCTGATTTTCAGTAGTTAGATGATTGACTATCCTGTAATAGGCTAATTATTAGATTTCCCTTCAATTTTTGTGTTGCAGAAAGGAAGGAAAGTTTCTTTCTCTACCTAGATTGTGTGATAGTTGTGGCACTGTTTCATCAATGCCATTGCATAGTCTTGACCTTTGAAAGATGGTATGGTGCATTCATCTTTCTCAATCTCCTCTGCCTTCAGCAAGGTGTCCTCAGCTCTGGAACTTCTGGCAATTTGACAAAGGCATCTCCCTACATGTCAGTTCCTGTTATCCACTCTGTCTTCTTCACATATGACACACATGTCAGCTCTCATTTTTTTCACTGCTTTCTTTGTTTGCTCCTTCACAGGTGGGAGATTCCTCATCCTCTTTTTTGAGCCATTTCCAGGGTGGTCCTTATTTTTCCTGCAATGCCTTCCTTGACAACTTTAAAGATCCTTTTTGTCACTGATGTTCTGTGGTTCTTCACAAAGAAAAATAGCTTTTTAGAGGCCTCATTAACTATCCTCAGTAAACTATTTCCTTGCCTTTTTTATAAATGATACTCTTCCAGCTACCGTAGAAAAGTTGTTGCTAAACGCTTTTGACATAATGCATATGGAAGTTCCTCACCTCAGTATGCTTGTTTAGCAACAGTAACAAATACTTTAATAGCCTCTTTATCTATTTTAAAAACATCTCAAGTAATGTTTGTTTCATCCTTGTAAAATCATGTTGCGAGATGGCAAAACTAGCACCTACCTCCCACATGCTTTAGCTTAGGCTGTTTGATTGCAGTATTCTAACTAAGCAGTGTTATTAGTGATGAGGCATTGACAAGAAGGCAATGATCACTGCCTCTCCTCTCATCTAGAAGTGAATCAGCAGGAAGCAGAGATTATAGAAACATGTTCTTGTCAGTCTGTCCTTCAAAAAGGCAGGGAGCCTCCCCGACTGCGCCCCTGGTAGCTCCTCAGTGGTCTTGAAAGTTGGATGCAGGGAAAACAACCAAAAGAGTTAACTTACAAGAAATAACTGTTGTCAGACAAGTGATCCTGAAGGCTGATAAAAAAAAAGTATTCCTGACACTGTTACTTTCTTATTTAGATGTTTGGGCACTTACAGTAAAAAGTTCAATAAGAGCTGAGACAGTGGACAGATACTGTTCAAATTGCATATGATGGTTTCATATGCTTAACTACTTATCTGAAGTGATAAAATTAAAACAGAAACATAGTAATTTAGGCAAATTTTAAGCCTTGTTTCTCCTTTCATATGTGGCTTTTTGCACTACTTTACCTTTGTAAAGATAATTTATACTAGTGTGACATCAAAATTACATCATAGAAGCAGATACTTACAATAAATGTTGGTTTTGAAAATACTAAGTTGGTCTTATCTAATCTAACCAGGTTTTATAGAAATAAACCTATTTTGGTAAATTTTGAGGCGTTTTTAAATGCAAGTTTTATTTCTACAATCACTAGTGTAAATAATTTAGACAGAATGAAGACACCCCATTGCTGAGGTGTCTTCCTCTATAAAAGTAGACTACATTGGAACACATACTAATAAAATTGTCTTTTCTGAATATTTTGGGATCTTTCTTACAAATTTAGTAATTTTTTTGTTTGTGTCTGGTCTACTTAAGAAGTTGCTAGCACAAAGCAGTGAGAATAGTCAGGTTTGTCTTGCCTTTCAGAGTTTTCCTTTTAATGCAGTCCAGAGATGATTCAGTTAGTGACTTTTACCAAATCAAATCCACTACTTTGTTTTTACATAAATTTTATAGGAATAATCTGTGTTCTTAAAGTTGGGAAGGTTTTTCAATAACTGGCTACATGGTAAACAAGAGATATTCAAAATTCTAGCAGTAACTTATATCACAATATTCTTACTGTTTTCTCCTACAAAAATAAGTTGCCAAACAAAGCTGTCACAGTGAATTAGAGCATGGTTCAAATGAAAAATGCAAAAGAATGTACAACCTAAACTTAAAAGAAAGTTAAATTACATTAGCAAAGAAAAGGTATAAGAAGTCTTTAAAATGCTCTCTCCATATCACACAGTTTCCAGTAACAAAATAAAAATTGTAATATTTTATTATTATAATAAATAGAATGCATGCTTTCCGAAATTGCCTATAGTCACATACTTTTTTGTTATACAGTAAACACTTTAAATTGTGTCTCAATAACAAAAACATGAACATGTAAAAACATTTACATTTGGTAAGCTCTTCCCTGTTATTTATGCATGCTGAGTGTAATAACAATGCTTACTTTAGAGAGGTCATGTGGTCATTTATTAATCAATGTTTTATCATGTTTTCACAGTTCTTACATGCAAAGTGTTTATGCATATATCTAGTGTATGCACACACGTACCTTGCAAACTGTTATATGAATGTGTTACTCTGGCTGGTTTGCATCTTTCTTCACTCTTTGCCCCCCCGCATCAAAATCTTATTTATAAAATCACTGGTACTGAAAATGTGAAATACAGTCTGTTATTTGAATATCTATAAATCGGCCATCTGTGATATACACTGTAACAAGGAAAAATGAATCAAGTTTGTCAGTAAATGCTACTTTGACAAATCCAATTTTAAACATAATGTATTGCTAAGGCTGTATTATAACAACTTTCATAACTCTAAAAGGGCAAATAACTTATTTGTCTCTTTAGTAATTGCACCATGTATGGTGATTTAGTATGTCTTGAATTTAGATTTTTACTTCTGTGATAAGAAGCTCTTTCTTATTATCTTTGTCCTTTGCAAAATCTCAGGATTTTGTTAAGGACAGCCAAGTAGGTGGTTTGTGATTATTAAATATACCACCCTGATAGTACCCTCTGGAGATTAGATTTGCACATCAAAGTAACAGTCAGAGTAATACAAGAGCTGCACCTCCATGTTGACCCACCCAACTCACTGCACCAAGAGCAGCTTTTCAAAAGATGTGATTAAGTAAAAGACAGCCAATAGCAGTGGATAAATAATGTCATGCATTAAAATACACCGAAAACAAGTGTAGAGCTAAGATGGAAACACGCTGTCATAGTACCTGTTCCAGTAGAGGGGATGGGTGCAGCAGTTGAAAAGTATCTACATGAGTTTTATTTAGTGAATTGCAATCTCCAAGTGATCAAAAAGTTCAGGATGAAAGTTTCCCCAGAAGCAAAGTAGAAAGAAGTTGAATACTGTCATTGCTCTCTATGAATGAATCTCCTTAACCTTTAGTTAGTGTGTATCACTTAGCAGTTACATTTCATCTCTGGATGTTCCTAGACTGTAAGTCAGGAATTTGTTTTGAGTATGGGCATAGCTAAAGCACAACAGCAGGTACTTGAGTTAAATATTTGTATGGGGAAAGCATGATTGAAATAATTACACAGTCAAGGTAAATTAGTTTTAAGCAGTCTAATTTCATAAAAGGCTGATTCCAGAGAACTGGCAAGGAGCAAGGATATATGATAATAACACATTCAACAGTGTTGGAAGAGAGCTCCTAAAATGATTAAAATGTCCTAAAACTCATACAGTTTAAAATAATAATAAAAATAACAACAACTTTTTAGGTACATTTTATTAACTTTTTAGGTTACAAACTGGTAGGAATTTAAGACAAGTTTTCAGGGGGTTGTTTCTATTGCAGAAGAAACTTTAAAGAAAATCTACTGAATGGAAGCTCATATTTTTACTATATCTATGTGGCTGTAGAAGCTTGCTCAAGAGGTTATTAAATATCATGGTAAAATAACAACCTGGCAAGACTGTGTAATCCTACACTTTTATAAAACATATATGGCATACAAACATGATATACCTATCTTTATACCGCAAACAGGAAAAAGAAAGGGCTTTTCATAAATCTGTAATTTTTTTCATGTAGCAAACACAGTTCTACCAGGCTTTGGCAGGTATTAAATCTGCAAGAGAGAAGTAAATAGTTCCTGTGCTATGTTCTTTGTATATGGAAAACATATACAAGAAGCAGAAAGGTGACATTTAACTCTATAGTATTAAATCCTATAGCAGAAAAAAACAGCAGTGGAGAGAAAGCTGGACTTATGCATTACTTAAACACGCTTCTTAAGAATGCCCTTGTTCTCCTGAGTTCTTTCTCATCACCATAAGCTCTCTCCTAGGTGTGAAACTATAAGCAGACGAAAGCTTGTCATGCAGGTGTATTTTGTATACCTGCCACATTGTGAACTCACCATGTCTCTGGCCCTGAGGAGAAGTTCTCTTCCCTTGCAGCAAGATTATGTTTTAAAAAGCTGACTTTTAAACCTCTTACTGAATTTTTTAATGGATTAAATTCATCATGTCACCAGCTGCTGTGCAGCTAATAGAGCCATAAAACACTGTATTAAAGGATTACCCATGCAAAATTTCCTCTTGTGCTAATGTGAATTTTAATACTTTTAACATTTAGTTGAGATGGGAATGTCCAAGAACAGCTTGTTCAATAGGTTGTTCTATAAAATTAAGTTCCTCAGCTCATCACAAATGCCAGGACTCCATTAAGTTAAAATTTTACAGAGCGGCTGAGATGATTCACTGTATATAGCATTCACAGGGAGGAAGGCAACATCTGCTTCTCCATTAATGCTATAAACCAAGGAAGTAAAACACACAAGAGCATCATAACTGCAGGGAAACTGGGCTGAACAGCTGAGAGTCCTCGCTCCATATTAGCTGGGGGTCAGTTTATGCCATTAGGTACTTGAGGTATAAAGGCAGAGGAAATACAAAATTCCACTCCCTGAAGCAGGGTGACTACCGTAGGCTTTGAATCTAGTCTCACATTAATATTCAGGAGGAATTTCATGAAAGCAAATTATTTAACTTTAGTAGGTGGTATAGGGAAAAAAAAGGGATAGCCATGCTTTCAAAACAGGGAGTGAGACCTTTGGTTTTATACTTATCTATAAACAGTAATTAACAAGCTATCATTTATGTTTCTGAAATCATTAAGTGACTGCAAAATAAGATATAAAAGGCTGCAGGTTGCATTTCTCTCATCTGACAGCAACAAAATGGTCTTCTAGAGGGTGTTTCTCTGGAGTAGTTATAAGTTTAGAAGTGGTGTGCCTTTGTTGGCTCGTAACTCCCATTTTCTGCTGAATAGGACAGTTTGAAGAGATGCTAGCAGGTACTAGAAAGAGCCTCACCAAGCCTCTCCCCCCTGTCTCACCCATAAGGACCACCCACGGAAACTACCATCAGTAACCAGATGAAATCCTTGTTTACTGCTGCAATTAATACATAATTAAGCACTTGGACCTTACTCAGACATCTTTTTCCTACCATGGGCAACAGAATAAGCTTGAAGGAAGGGCAAAGAGCAGGCAAGCAACAGCAGTCCCAGTCCATCAACATCTGCACTGAGTATCATTCTTGATAGTGAAATATTTGGGTAGGTAAGACTGTAAAAAAAAAAAGGAACACTAAGCTTTCTTTTGACCCTAATGGCTCTTGCAAACAAATGATCACTGATGCAGGCAAAACATTCTGTGTTTTCAAATCAGCATGTAAAAATTGGTTTCTCCTTATGGCTTTTCATCTGAGCATTGATCATCCCAGTACCAGCTAAAGCAAGGCAGCATAACATCACACACTTTACCTTGTTAGCAGTACCATCATCATGCAGAGAGTGCTGCCAAATAAGAACCCACCAGTTCCAGGGACAGCCAGAGTGCTTCTTCAATCCCACCCTGAGTATGTGAGAAAGGAAGAAACCCCAGCTGACTCTAGCTCAAATGCTGTGCACCCTGTAAGAGAAGGAGCTGGCTGGTTTTGTCACTCATTGATCCCAAAATGACCAAAACCACTGCCAGCAACCTCCTCCTTAGAAGCCTGTGCAGCTGTTTATCTTTGGTCATTTCCTGAAGGAGTAATTTTTAGTCAGGACCCTGATCAACAGCCAGATGAGGATAGTAGGAACAGCCTATGAATTCTAGGTTTCATCTCTACAAACTTTAAAAATCCAGCTATGAGCAGTTGACTGCCTTTTAAAACTGTTTCCAAATGAGGGAGACTTTCCATGTAGCACATTGTTCATACTGCTAAGTTTTTTTACAAAATTTTGTAGTAGTAATAGTAGTAGTAGCACTAGTAGTAAAGGTTTCTGATGCTCACTTTGGAATAAAAGGGGACAGTTATTTAAAATCTTACATGAGAATGGTGAGGAAGTTTTAATAGGAATATGCTTGAGCTGCTGTTCCTTACCCCAACTGAATTTTCTCCACAGCTCCATATTTTGTTCTCCATGTGTATTACTGTTCTGAGAGCCTGTCATTTCTTATCAGAATGAGAAAGGCTAAAGAGATAATATTTCAATAACATACTGGCCTGATCATAAAATAACTCAATGGAAATGTGTAACTGCCTCAGGCAGCACAGCAGGATAGTCAGCAGTCAGATGATTTCTATTCTGGGTTTCTTTTTTTTATGGTTACATTTTCTGTTATATCAGACATACCCTCAAGTCTTAGTTATGCTTTTATTCAAAAGGAGAACCACAGTATAAAGACCTACAAAACTTATTATGATATATTACTGTAAAGAAATAAAAGTTGGTGCCACAGTAGCATATTGATAAGGACAGGCCTGCCACATTAATTGACCTTTTTTAATCTCAACCACCAGGGCTGAGGCCTAAGCATCTCGGTTGCTTAGCAACAGGGTCACTGCTTTCAGGCCTTAAATGCACCAAAAAAAATAGTTAAGAAAATATCAGAAGATGTGATCTTATGAAGGCAGCAGATGTTTGGCAGATGAAAGTATTCTTTTTTATCCCTTTTTATCCCGTGCTGTTGATCATAATGCATAGAGGGTCAAAAAAGAAACCAGGGTCTGAAGTTTTACTGATCTAAGAAGACCATCAAAACAGTACTGAAACTACAGGCATATGCTCCTGCTTGACACTGGTCCTGATGAGATGCTTTTGATTTTTAGACCATACATAGATATCTACAAATAATTCATATGATTCTTCCTTATGCATAAACTACATGCATACGTGCAAAATACTAAGTGACCCTGGATAATATACATGTATTTTTAGGACAGCAGAGTGCAGAAGAAAAGTTAAAAAGGGGTTCCTATTTTCTAGATCCGTTTTTAACATTCTATCATAAACATTAGTGCTCACTGCTACGTTTAATGACAAGGCTT